CTCACAAAAGCTCAAATCTTGAAGTAGAAATCAAATATGCCAGGAATGAAGAGTGTGCCATGGTTTTGAAAATAATAAAAACAGAAAAGCTTGGAGAATAAGACCCAAACAGGAAAGCATCTAAGCCATAACATTAATGGCAAATCTCATACACAGAAAGAGAATAAACCTAAGATCACAATGTTCCATTTTCCTTGAAGAGAGAACTGCGTAAGTGCCATGACTTTGCTTAATTGAAAAAGTTTCTTCATGTCAACCATTTCTTACTCGGAACAGTTTAAGAAAACAAAGCAAAGCATCCAGGAAGTTAGTGGTTTGGGGCAAGAAAGCATTGATAGGAATAACGTGCTCACCCTGGGATGGTGATTCAGGCTGGGGGGTACTGTTACCATAGCTGCCGAGAAGGGAGGTTCGTTCTTTCTCTTTCCTTTTTTTTTTTGGTAGGTTTTGTTTCAGTAAAAAGGAGCCTAAGAGTAGAAAAACAGTTTTCAAGGCCCTGCATGCTAGAAGCATGAATCTAATCTTTCTTGAATGCAAGGAAGTAGAACCCAGAGGAAGAGCACAGTTCTGTCAAATGTAACTTGGAAGAAAAATCTTTCCAGGTCTGCACTGGGAAAGGAAGAGTCTTAGAATTCTTAACAGCCACTGGAAACTCAGCCCTGGAGTGTGGCTGGCAGGATCTCTGCCCTGGCTTGCCATCAAAAGCCACTCTCGTTTTTCTCACAGGAGAGCTCTGCAGAGTCCTGCAGCACAGTACGAACTCTAGTGATAAGCTGAGTGTATTTTTCTAACTTCGGAAGCCCAGGTGCATCCCATGGTGATGTCAACCAGGAGGAGCCACTTAACGCACTAGAGAAGCTCTATTAAAATCAATGGCAGCAAACCAGCACCAGAACCTCGCTCTGAGGCCTGAACTATCCTGAGCACATTTTAGGGTATCAGGCAGCAATTCAATCAGCACGCAATGTGTCTCAGTATTCAGCCCAAGATGCCAAGAACATGGGTTCACGCGACAGTCATATCTTCTGGGGCTGCAGTGGGAGGCACAGGTGCTGGGGGCTTGGGTTTTAAAGGACACAGGAACACAGCTGGGAGAGGAGGGCTTATGCACCTCCACAGAAAGCTTTTTTGCTTGCAGTCCTGAAGCACCGCGGTTTCTACAGTAACAACTTCCCTTTTAGTCACTGTTGGCCAAGAAGTGGAAAGGGATACTTTCTGATCTCTAGGAACTTACTTAAAGCTCTTGCCAACAGAGCAAGACACCAAAGAAATAGGGAAGCCTACAGCTGCCTTCTCCAAACCTCAGCTCACTCGCGATTGGCCCAGCCAGGAACTTTGATTCCTGCACCTAATCCTCTCTAGTCATGGACAAACGAAATCAGAGCCACCAATGGAAAATTCTAGCAAAGGCCAGCTGGGAAAGTCCTATCCCCGAGGACAGGCCAAATGAAAACCTTGCTTTAATCACAATGACATTTCAGTACTTATGAAACCAGTCTCTTCTGTCTCCATAGCCAGTGCGCAGCCTACTGATGTTGTTGAATTATCCTGTGTACCAGAAGGTGGTGGTAACAGAAAATCAGAGGAAATTATGATAATTGGTTGGTGTATAAAAAGCACATTTGTTTATATAAGGTCTTTGAATTCCTGTCATTCCTGTCATATATCACTTTTATGCCTCTTCTGTCACTGTAATGAGAATCTGGTCACATTTATAATTCTCAGGCTTTGATTCTTTGATCCAGTTAGAATTCACTTAGATCACTGAGGGCCTTTCTTTGTGTGAGATACTGAAGGGAATAACAGAAAAAGGAGAGAAAGTTCCAGTCTTAGGGAGTCAACACATGATCAACCCACATGTTTGTTTATAGTGTATAGTTTCTATAATACTTCCATGTGAAGTATTTACAAATACGTTGGTAAGCAGTGCTTCCCCCCACCCCGCGCCCCAGTACTGGGGGCTGAACCAGAGCCTTCACACTGAGCTACATCCCCAGACCTTTTATTTTTCATTTTGAGACGAAGTCTTGCTAAGTCACTAAGTTATCCAGGCTGCGCACAAACCTCAATTCTCCTGCCTCAGGTTCCTACCGTGCTGGGATTATAGCTAAGTGCCACCACACTCAGCTAGCAGCACTGTTTCTAATAACCCTACTTCTGGTACTTTTAATTACACAAGATTAACTGTAAAATTGTTAGTGTTATTTTAAATCATTGCAAAAAAAAGCCCTAAAAGATCATCAACTTTATACTATACAAAATTTAAAAAGGACTCTTAATAATAACTAATATACTGAAAGGGAATTTAAATGAAGCCTGCCAAGGATGCCCCGCAAGATCAGGCAGACACGTCCACACTGGACAAACCTGATAACAGAACATTCCTTTCTTTGTGTAAGCTTGTCTAACAAAAGGCCCTAAGCAGAACCTAAAATATTCCTTTGTTATCCCCGTCTTTGTATAACTAATAGCCTTGCAATATAATTTAAAATGTAACAGGACATTTCTTCCTTTGTAGAACCCATGCTTTCTATACCTGATGACCTTACAATAGAACCTAGGATGTTTAAACTCCCTTAGCAACCCCAAGATGTCACCCAGCCTTCCAATCCTAAATCATAAAATCTGCCTCTGTACATTGCCCCCTAGCTTTCCCTATTAAAGCCCCAAGACCCCATCGAGGCAGGGATCTGGCTCTTTGGGAGAGATCCTAGTCAGAAGCCCATTGGTGTAATAAACTTCCTCCTAAATCTCCTTGGTACCATCTCTCCCAGGTTGGCTTTCCATAACGATACTACAGAAAAGCCAATATGGGTGCATGCATGCACACACATGTATTCAAAGCATGTATTTATTCTCTTAGCAACTCAATGAAATAGATTCAGTTATCATCCTTCTTTTACAAATGAGACTATACAGAGAGAGACACTAGGCAGATACAGAGAAAGGACTACAGAGAGACCAACAGTGGGACTGGAATAGTTCAGTGAACACTGAGGATTTGGAAGAGATAAAGCTCTCATAGTACAACATTACTGAACTGTGTTTTTATAGATGATAGAAGACTAAGACACTCTGACAGTACTGAACTGAATCTCACAAGCACAGAAAGCATTCAGGAATGAGCCCTACCCTTTTGACAAAGGGTTCCAATGACTTAAGATGCAGACAAAGACATCCCTGATAACTGTCAGGAAAGCCAAAAGAGTGACGTTAAAAAGATAATCCCAGAAAGCTAGCAACGTATTAAGATAAACCATAAAAAATAGGATTTTGTAGTACATTTATGATATCAAACCCTGAGATAAACACAGCATTTCATTTGAATATCACTAAAATGCTTCTGGTCTCCAGAGTATCTTCTGAGTTTTCATCTCAGTGTTTGGTGCCATGTGCATCTGTGCAAGTCTCCTTATCAAAAATAAGTTAGCAGAAAAAAAAAAAAAAAATAAGTTAGCAGAAAATTTACAAACCAGGACACTGTTTCCTAACACAGGCAGGAAAGTTAAAGTTTATACTAGGGACCAAGATAGTCATTTTTGTTTTACATTTCATAAAGATTTTGAGTGAAAACCTCTTTAAAATGCACAAAAAGAACTTCCTGGTAAAAAGTATATGTAGCATCTTGACAAAAATTATGAAGCAGTAGAATATTATAAATCATACATTTTAAAGCAAGTGTCTATAATTCAACCACCTGATTTAAGTGATAGTTTAGTTGGCTAACTAGTTTAATCCAAGTTCCCTTAAACATATTACGTGATGTCTTTCCTCAAATTTGCATAAGAGGTCCGCCTACAAAGGTATTGTAAAAATACAATAATCTAGGGGCTGGGGTTTTAGCTCAGTGGCATAAGCACCTGCCTTGCAAGCAGGCGGTCATGAGTTCGATCCCTGGTACCGATAAAAACAGAAAAAAAATACAATAATCTAGTATTTATAATGCTCTACCATGGAGCTCAACATGTACTAGTTATTATTTTCATTACATTGCATAATTTGAACATTTCCTATGCTAATGACAGAACTAGAAAATTGACTTTCTGAAGATTGATAAATACTTCAAAAATGTAATGTTCATTTAACTAGTTATTTCAGTAATTCGCTTTATTTTATTGTTTAGGTACCAGGAATTGAATTCACAACCTTGCCAGGCAGGCCCTGTGCTATTGAGCTATTTCCCTGGTCAGTAATTTGCTTTTTAAAAAATGTATAACACTTGATCTGAAGTCTGAAAGAACTGCCAGCCTGGTCAATAGCAACATACATGTTTACACACGTGACTTCCTATACAGGTATGTGAGCAGTCTCATGAAAGACAAAAGATTTGATGTGCGGTTATTTCTGATTTGGTATCTGTGGGGTTTTCCCAATGCAGTGAAATAAGCCCAGGAAAACTATGAGAGTCAACAACCTCTAGCTTCAAAGCAAGGAACAAGCAAACTGATCACCCTAACACACTCATCTGCAACTGAGCAGCCAATTTGGGTATCAGTACCAGGCTCACAGCACTTTTTAAAACCTGTGAATTGTGTCAGTTCTTTATGGCGGTTGATAAGGAGGAGCATGTTACAGAAGAACAAATTTACAAGGCCCAGAGACAAATATTTGCCCAGGGGAAGTATCATTTTGGATGAATAAGATCCAGACAAGTCTCGAAATCTCTTTCTCTTATGTTTCTGCTCTTTCTTTTCCACCTCACACCTCCCTTCCATTTTCCCTATGTGAGACTTCAGTTTTAGGATGTACAATGGGTACAGTTCACGTTCTCCATCCTCAGCCTTGTGCTATCTAAAGACAATACAAAGCTAATAAAGTAATTAAATGCTTATTTTGTCAATGTGGAGCTAAATTTAAAGGATGCCATCAGCTACTACTTATTAGGATGCTTCACTTTCCAACAGCCATGTAGGAATCTCATGCCTCTGAATCCAGAACATTATTGTATGTAATTTTCTGTGAGTTACAAACACATACTGCAGACTGAGATGAACACTTACTTTTGCTCCACAAAGAGGGGATCAAAGAATTCTGTTGTGATTTTGTTTGCATATAGGGAACAGCCAGTCATTGAGCACAGCCCTAAAGGTATCAAATGGAAAGCACACTAGTTAGTATTATTTCATTAATATCACAAAGCACCTTTTTTGGAAGAAAGTTGTTTTTTTATGCAGGATATATAAATACCATTTTGGGGGGAGTGATTACCAGGAGTTGAACTCATGACCTTGTGCTTGCCAGGCAGGCACTGTGCCACTGAGCTACATCCCCAACCCCAAGAAAGTTATTATTTACCTGACAGTATGAATACAATTCCAGCCAAACAAGCAATTTTAGCTTTGGTTTTATCTGAGCCTCCGACTTTGGTACACTTCATTCCGAAGAGTGCAAATATGGAACCAAAAAAGCCCAGGCTGACGGCAGCAATCATGAGCCCTCTACATGCCTGAATATAACCTGCAATGAGAGCAGACATTTATGTTAACATGAAACATGCAGCTGTCTAGGGAGAAATCTTCAGCTTATATTGTCATTCTGGGGGATTGTTCTGCTGTCTAAAAAAAATAACCAGGAGATCAGACAAAGAGAGGAAGGAAAACAGGTTAATCTGCAGTGTCCACCTACGTCAAGCACTTGAAAGTTTAGTTTATGCATAAAGCTCCAGCAGGATCTCTATTATTATTCTCAGATTTGCTGATGAGGTAATTGAGGTATCAACATCTCCATTATTTGCCAGAGGTGAGTCAGTAAAGGACAGAGGGACCTCATTCTAATTTAGACTGTAACATCCATGCCACAGACTTTCCTGTGAGACATCATCTATTCCCTCAAAACTCTCTAACTCCTCTGCAGGTCAACCTTTTAGACAAGTTTTAGTGGTTTTTGTTTGTCTTGCTTTGGTCTTTTTTGAGACAGGGTCTTGCAATGCAGTTCAGGCTGCACTTGAACTCACATCACAGCCAAAGTTGGTCTTGACCTTGCAATGATCCTCCTGCCTCAGCCCCCCGAGTACTGAGATTACAGGCGTGTACCACCATGCCCAGCCTAAATAGGTATATTAGTGACCTGACATTATAAAATTCTAAATGTTATACTTCATCAGCAAGAGCTGCCGAAGAGTCAAATCTAGTAGTACTGAAGATTTATACATGAGATTCATTGGAATATTTTTATTCCATGAACCACAAGGAGTTTAAATCAAGAAAAAACTTGAGTGACATTGCATTTTGGTCAGGGAACATAGAGTTCGACTTTAAAATGTATTGCTTGTAGAAGAGTAATTTATAATTATTAAATCAACTGTTTGCATATATATGGGTACATTTAAAATACCCTCAAAGTAAGTTCTGTCAGTTTGTTGGATTATCCTTCCTGTACCATTTATTCCCTTACATATTTTTATTTGTACAGCCAGAGTGATGGTAAACTTCAATGTGGCTTTTATCCAGATACTAATACACTGTAAATTAACAGGATTTAAGCTAATAACTTTTTACTACATAAATCGTTTTCATTCCAGTTTGAAAGAATGAGAGAAGCGTACAGGGTGTAAGTAAATATTTGTTAAGTAAATGAACACACTTATATCGGGTTTACATTGGAATTAAACTTTCTAATTGGAAAAAAATACTCTTAAATACCAAGATATAGTGAGGAACTTATTAGTATTTAGGTGAAGAAAACAAGAAGTGATCATAAAATCATAAGCATCATAAATTCAGGAAGTAAATGCTGGTGGCATCCACTCTCATGTTTCTTTGGAAAAGAATGAAATTTAAGCTTGAATCTCATGCCCAGGATACACTCTGAAGAGCAGACAGGGGCTGTTGTATTTAACTGTAACCACTACAGCTCATAAACGCATACCTCACTAGGGTCCTAGTGCAAGCTACCTCCATACAGAAAGTAATGGCACTGATGCTGACAGGAGGCCAGGAGGACCCGCGTGAGCCCATGGCGAGCACCCTGGACCGGAAGTGGTCACCGTTCACAAAAGCTGCGGGTACAGTGTGGTTTCATTATTTTGTATAATCTACGGTTTTGAGGTGTTTTAGATAATCCAAAATGTAATCATTAAACAATTAAAAAATGGACACACACACAGTACTCCATCTTTATCAGTGTGAGATGGATGTGTGGATGTCTCAAACTGTTGACAGTATCAAACCCCTACACATACTCTATGTCCTATAAATATGCGATAAAGTTTTAATTAGTCACCATAAGTAGTTAATAATACGTAATGATAAAATAGAATAAGTATAACAATTTACTAGTTATTTAAAACTTATGTGTATTTCTGGAATTTCCATTTAATATTTTTGGATTTTGGGTGAGGATGAGTAACTGAGAACAAGGAAGTTAAACCATGGATGTGAGAAGATAACTCTGTGTGTGTATGTGTGTGTGTGTGTGTGTGCAGAGAGAGACAAACACACACACACACATATTCCTGGAAATCTTTATCGTGCACCATAATTTGCATTTACCTTCATTTTCCCAAATGTTTTATTACAAAGCAGATGGTCTGGAATTTACCAAAGGTTAAGTTCTACAATTCAGTCATTTAGAACAGGAAATACATTTTCCCACAGGGTAAACAGTGGTTAGAACCCAGGCCAACGCAGTCAACCCTTCATGTCACAGGGAAAATACCAGCAGTCTTTATACTTACGCTATCACTATGCAAACCATTCTTTCTGAGTCTCTCATTTTGAACTCTTTCATCTCAGAACTGCTCTGGTCTCTTGGTACAAGTGAAAGAGAAGAGATGGACCAAGCAGGTTCTGATTGGCTCAAATCCTCCTCTTCACCCTGGAAAGCAAGGCACCTCTCTTCTGGAGAATGCAGCAATGAATTGCTAACTTTCTGCATTCACATATGAAAAAGGCCCTTCACAAGGACCACTGGTGGCAGACTTTCTGAAAGGCAGAGTCAAAAGCAGGGGATAAACTCCTCGACCAGCTGCAAGAGGAACCAGGTTGTTGATAAGCCTGAGGGTTGTAAGTGAGGGGCCACACTCACAGACTCAGGCTTTAAGGGACTTGTAACAAACTCTAAGTTTATCTTTTGCAACCCAGCTTTTTTTTTTTTAAACAGCTCCTGAGGGCAAAACTCCCATCAGGTGAAGTGGTAGTAAAATCCTAGCCAAGGAGACCATTATTTTTGACAGGCTTAATTTACTGACACTGTTAATGACTAATTAACACATTAAAGTGCTGAGACATGAACATATTTCCTTAGAAGTCCTCCGAAGTATAACTTAGTTTCTCCTGGAAGATGAGGCAAACATTCCCACTAATAAAAATAGATAGCATGCTGTAAAAACAACCTGGCTGAAAATTATTCTTAGCTGAAGTTAGAGTGGTGCTTGGAAAGGAATATTGTTAGCAATAAACTAAACACTGGCTCATTCAACCATGAAATTTTCACTAGTGACTTTAAACTAATGAATTCCACTGGAGGAAACCTCCAAAGTGTCCCTTGAAAGTCAAGTGTTTTCCAAATGATAGGTCCGTATTTTCAACTGCAACCAGCAAAAATGAAAATATCCACTTGGTGGAGACAACTCACCAGCAGCCTTAGCTAGTTCTTGAGTTTAAGGGAGAGAAAAGAAGGTACTTCTCTTAGACCTATAACTTTGTGTATTTTTGCAAATTCTACTGGGGTTAGGGCAGTGCCAGTCCAATCAGTAGACCGAGCCAGCGATCACTCCCCCTTAATTTCCAGCATTGCACTATGAATCAATCATATACTCTAGATTCAGCCACCTCCCAAAAAACCTCTATGACTGCATGAGGCTGGGAGGGGGCATCTTGATACAAACCATAACAATTAGTAAGAAACTCATCAAAGCTCCCTTCCATAATACTAAGATTGAAATCAGAGTTGGAATCTTAACATGGCACAACATCCGATCTAAACCTCTTCTTCCTTGTAGGGAAAACTGGAATAGCAGTTTCATCCTGAGAGTGAGAAATCAGGGCTTTGTGATCATCATCTGCATCTGTGAGGCTTTTCTTCTTAATTCAAGATAAGTGAGAATCATGAGCCTTCTCTTTTCCTTCTTGGGTTCCTTTACCAACCCACAGCTCATGCCTGATTTAAAGGAAAGACTGAACTTCATGAGCCACAAGGCCCACAGTAAGATGGCTTTCTCCTTCCATTCCAAAGGCAATACAGACAGAACTCATCAGATGCATCTGACCTGGAAATTCAGGGCAGAAAGCACACAAGTGGAGGGACCTGCTCTGGAAACCAAGGAAGGGACTGATAAATGTGATTATATTATCCGTGAAACTATGACAAAAGCCAGCACAAACTTAAAACATAAGCACTGGATCAGGACTGCACACATCTATTGCATATATATTCAGAGTCAAGCATTGACAAATCACAAGCCAAAAAGAAGATATGGACAACTCATGGAAGAACTGTCCATGAATACACAGTAAGATGATCAAAACCACCAGGAATCAGGGAAATGCCAATTAAAATGACACCAAGACAAAAACTACCACCCATAATCCTGAAGGAAGAAGTGAGTGGTATGAACATGGAAAAGCAGTTCTCACCATTAATGGAATGTGATTTGGCAGGAGGAACCAAATATTTAAATGCATGTTCTATTGGTCTGGAAATACCATTGCTCAGTGGAATAGATTACTCATGCTCACAAAAAGGCAAATAAAAAGAATTTCAGTAAAGTGCTAATAACAGCAAAAAGTTGGAAAGGGTCTGGTCATTGCAATGGGTAAATGATTAAATAAGCCAGTTTTTCCAGAATGATGAATACTATGCAGCAGTTAAAAACAGTCATGCCATCTTGACTGACTCTGCAAGATGTGATTAATTTCAAAGCATTACAGAACATATAAGTTTTGTTTTTTAAAAAATCACTTTTCCAGTCCCATGAACACACAGAAAAGCCATTGCACAAGCTAGGAAGCATGTGAGTGTCACTCCCCTCAGCTCCACTCCCAGGGAGCTCTAGGACTCCTTCTTCCCCAGTATCTCACTTGCCCCCAAATCAAGGACCACCTCCAGGTTCACTTCAGATGCTAAAGGGAACAGTCACTGTTGTCCTGCACTCAACAGTCTTCCAGAAACATCTCTTTCTCCTCTCCTCTGTACCCCAGCTGTGTACAGAAGGAAGCTGTGCCTATCTGGCACGCTATCTCAAGCGACAATAGTGTTACAAAGAACGCTCTTGGACAGCTCCTGTCAACCCTGTGCTTCTGAATGTAAACCGCAGAAACAACAACCGGCCTGTTCATCTACCTGGGCGCGCTCCGCTGGGCACAGGAAATTCAACAGCAATGCTAGGGAATAAACAGTGTTCCGGCCACTTCTTTTACACAACAGGACGCAGACCAGGGTGCCACCCTTCCAAGGCCAGACACGTATTCCTTTATACCACGTTCCATCCAACACGGAGTTGAGCAACAGTTTGCTTT